TTAGGAGATAGATGCTTGCTCTTTACAAAGAAATGGCTGAGAAAATAAGCTCCTGATATATACACAAATGGCAATAGATCTGCAAATCAGAGTACTGGTTAATAAGAGAGCCTGGAGACCCTCAGTGTTGAGTTAAAACAGTTCCCATAAATCAGTGGGTCATGTGAACTGAGGACTCTGAGCACATCACACAGGAGGAAAGCAATTTATAAGCCTTCCTCTATCCCTTGACGTGTAAAGGGCCTTGATTAAGTGTGAGAGAAGGGGAAGTATGATTTAATGAAATAAAAACAAAGTAATTATTTTTATTCTGTTTTAGGGTTGGTGTGGTGGGACTGACAAGCTCAAATCCCAGCCCTCTCCCTGCTCTTTCCTTATGAGGGCTGCAGAAATGAAAAGATAGCTTTGTGACCGGTCAGCCTCTGTGCCCCTCCTCAGTAACTGGGGCAAGAAGGAAATGAGGAATGCCGGACACAAGAAGTGTAAACATCCAGGTTTCTGAACACTCCTAGGGCTAGGAGTTAATGTACTTCCTGCTTTAAAAGAGCCTGGGTTTCCATGTTTAAAATGATCCACATCGCAGTGTCTATAAAATCCCCATCCCGTTACCTCCTTGTCTCCTCTCTCATTACCTTCCTGTGGCCTCTCTTAGCTCCGTGCATGATTTAAGGAATGGTTCTGGTCAACACCATTTTCTCTCTAGGGAGTTTTGTCCAGTGGCTGGGAGTCACATTTATTCTACCAAAGTAACTGTGGGGGAGTGAAAGCATTATACATTTTTCCCTCCCTCAATCCATGCCGAGAGTGTTATATTAATGAGCTATCGCTCAGTGACTTTCGAGAAAATCACATACAATATTTTATCCTAAATTCAGTTTTTAATGTGCTAAGTTTTGTAGTTTGGGTAGTTTTCTATTTTTGATTTCACATTTCTAACTTTCATGCTTTGTGACCGTTAATTAAAAGCATTTATTCTTATTACAAATACAAATTAGAAAAGGGTGAAGCAGAATGTCAACTATGCTGACTTAAAGACTAGAAGGCAAAATTCTCTTCCTTTGTATATTATGGAAAATTGCTAATTTCCATAAGAAATTTAATTATTTTCTCCCTAGTCATCCACAGAAATTAAAAGAGGGTGGGATAAAGTTAATTCAGAAAACCTTTTTATTGTGTTAATATTTCTATTAAAACCAGCAGAAAACAATGAGTTAGTGTTGAATATAATGATGGTGAGATTCAATTTTTCTGTTTGGAAACTATCGTATTCAAGATCCAGGTCTAACATACCTTTGTGACAGAAATTTAAACGTGGAAAGCTGCCACAATTTTCTTAGTCCTTAAAAGACCTCTATAACTCAGCAAACATCCACTGTATATTCAAGTACAATACTAATGGCTTAGAGTTTCAAAGATTAAGAATGGTTAGGGAGACTATTACTCCCGGTTCTCCATTTGTATGTCAAGGGAGACAGGAAAATAAATTTATCCTAAAATAAGCACGCTTACTTTCATCTTCTCTGCATATGCTGTTTCTTGTAACATTTGCAATAGAATAAAGAATGCACTGTCACCAAATTGCTTACATCTTAACGTATTACAATATTCTCTTTAGACTCCAAAAGGCTGCAAAGTTTAACATGCTTATTTATCACTATTATATTGTAGCACAAGAATTAACACGGATCAGCCTGGTGTAAGAGCAGAGAAAGGCTTTGGGTTTGGATCTCTTCTATCTGTAACTGTACCCAATGCAGATGATGTCATTCTGCCTCATAATTTTAAATGCTGTCTGTATGATGACAATTCTCAAATTAATATCTCCACCCTAGACCTTTTCCTTGACCTCCAGACTCATATATCCAGCTGCCTACTTGACATCACCACTTGGATAACTAATAGGCATATCAAATTTAACATGCTGAAACTGATTTCAGCCCTTAAACTTGTACTTCCTGTAGCCTGTTCCATGGCAGTGTGGAAAGCCCCATTCTCCAACTGTGCATATAATATAATATAGTATAATATAATATAATATAATATAATATAATATATATATTCAGAGAGAGAAAGGAGTTTTATTGTCTCTTGTCTTCTTTCGCTTACTTCTTATATCCAATTTATTAGCCAGTTCTGAAGAGTAAATTCATCATCTCACCATGTCTACTGCTGTCGTATCTGTCTGAATCTTGTTTGCTACTGTGTGCATTTCTGAAAAATGATCTTGTCGGTGTTGTCTGCTCAGACTCTTGTTCTGATTTCATTAACACAGATCATGTGCTTGTCTTAAAACTTGCTCAGTCCTTTCCCTTAAACCTCCCAGTGGCATCTCATGTCATTCAGAAAACAAACAAACAAACAAGTGCATAAAAGTTTCTTTCAAATATCTCCAAGGCCCTATTAAAGCAAACTCATTTCAGCTTTCTCTTCTTCAACTATACTGATTTTTTTGCTGCTATTGTGCATGACACACACCAACTTAGAACTTATTTTTCAGCTCACTATTTGACACATAGTAGATATCAAGTGAATGTTGAGTGGATAAATGAAGGATGAAAGGAAGAGATGTCAGAAATGTGTTTAGAATATTTTAGTGTTAGGCTCTTTGTGTGTATTCGCGGGTCGTCTTTATTTTTTTAAATTTGTAAGTTAAGGTATGTAGATCGAGCTCTATGATAGTATCAACAAACATTTTGTGACCACCAGGTGCCAGCACTCAGGAATACAAAATTGAAATTCCTGTTCTTACTCAGCTTAAGGACTTGTAACCTTGTATTTATTCCTGTTTCATATACAGTGCATAAAAAATGATCATATATCTACTTATGGGTCTATCATTTTGCATAAAATACAGGTTGGTATCAGAAACCAGTGGCTTATTGAGCATGCTGAAGATTGTTTTGTTTGTATATTTTGTTTGTATATAATATTAAATATTGACTTATCAATATTTAAAACAGGGAGAGGAATTAAGAAGTGACCTTTTTTTTTTTTTTTTTTTTTTTTTTTTCATTGTTACCGGGGATGGAACTCATGACCGACTGCTTGGAAGGCAGGTGCTTATGTCACTGAGCTAAATCCCCAGCCCCTAAGGAGTGATTTTTCCAAAATCACAGTTCCCATTTTCTCTTGACACATCACCACAGCAGGCAACCACACCCATGTTGCAGTATTCTGTAACAAGTGGATAATAGCTTCCTAACCTCAAGAAGGGCCGCGACAGGGATTTATAAAATTAGAAGAAGAAAAAAAAAAATTAAAAAGCGTGAAATAGCATTTTCCACTTAAACAGACTTTTGTGTTTCACAAAGCTTAGCATATTGTGCTTCATGCTATCAAAAAGTCATTCTTGGTAGTAAGTAGCATTGTCTCTTTTATAACTAGTGGGATTGGGTCTGAAAGAGTGTAATGATTGCTCTTAATGACTCTGCGTGAAGAAATCTGCATCATCATCATCGTTACCATCATCATCATCATTCTCTTTTTCACTATCATGATAATCTACATTTATTGAGTTCTTACTGTGAACCACACAGGCTTAGTTTTTATTTACATGCGGATATAACTAATTTTCCCAATAATGCTAAGAAAATCACATTGTTCTTATTTTCCAAGGAATAGTGACTCATAAGTGAAGTCACTTGCTCAAAGTTTCAAAACCCACAGTGACATAGCCAGAGTTAAATTTTGAACATTCACTTAGAGAACCCGGTTGCTAGTCTATGAGTTGTAGTTCCCAGTACAGCTAGAATGAAAGCATAGATCTGCCCGTTTTCAAAAACACTGTTCTTACCACATTTTATACACACTGCAAAGGGAATCTGGTTGCTGGATGACTGAAATATGGTTTCCTATGAACACTAGTGGGGAGAAAGTGTTATGAGAGCTGTGGGATAAAACATGGTATCTTCTTAGACTGAATCTCCATGGGCTATTTGATTCAAGTTCTCATCATATCTCACCCACATGTTCTGTTCTGGGACAGCTACTCTGTTGTTGCTAAATGAAGCACCTATTTCTAGGAACTCATTCAACTAGAGTGATTTAAAAAATTATTATACTCTAGTGCCTACAAATATGTCAGGAATCCTTTATAAATCTGTTTACAGAATGATTTCTGCAGGGTCATGAAAATGGACTAACTTTTATAAAACTTCTTCCAATTTGTTTATGTGACTCAATTGACTGCTGTTAAGATTAACACAAAAGAAAAAGTAGGGATTATTGTTAAAGCGGAGATTTGCAAAGTTGGTATTAGTTGACAGTTTCGCATAGCTAGAGGAAGGCATGCTTTCCCTCCAGTTAGGTGCTTCCTTGGAACAGATGTGGCTGGTACCAGATGCACTATTGATGTCTTTCACACACCACAGGTGAGTTGTTGTGATCCCTCATTTCCAGTAGTTTATCTTACTCTTTGGAGGTTAGCAAGGTCTAACTGGGAAAAATGTGCCATTTTCTAGAAACAATATGGGCAACATGGCAACCAAACACCTGATGGGAGTTAGAACCATGTCTTTCACCTCCAGCATTCACTGCATAGAACATCTATTCAGGACACTAGAAAGGTGGTAGAGTTAAGTTTAGGATCGTATGATTCTTCCTGAATCTCAATTATAGAATTAACAGTGTATTGTTGACTTGATACCTTTAAGTTATTTAATGTAAGATTTCTAAAAATTTAAACATTTTACTTAATTGATACATGTTGAAATGGATAATATGGCATTTGCTTTAGGAAAATTTTAAAATTAAATAATATATTCATATAATTACATCTATATCTATATCTATAGATGGAATTTTATCATTTCCAAATCCATATTCTCCTCCTTTTCCCCATTACTCTTCTTTCTTACCGCATCACTGAGACATCTACTTCCCTGTTTCCTATCATCTTTCCTTTCTAAAAGTTCTTTAATTTGTTCATATTTTACGCTTTTCACATGAGAGAAACCATGTCACAACTATCTTTACGTTAAAAAAATGACTTACTTCACTTAAAAAGTATGGAACATCTCACAAATTTGTGTCATCTTTGCACAAGGGTCACGCTAATTTTCCCTATATTGTTCCAATCTTAATATACATGCTGCCAATGTGAGTGCACATGTAGGGATTTGTTTTGAAAATATAATGATCAAGCATTCTTCAAGTCAGGTCACCTCGCTGGTACTAAATTTTTTCAGTGGTTTATTGCATGCTTTTAAGCAAATCATGGTCAAGAGGTGAGAAGCTGCACCTTGAACTCTATTTACTGAAATCGTTCCTTCTGCTTTCTCCCTGTCTCTGCTCACTTCAAATGGTAAATAGATAACCCGGTGTATAGTCTCTGAAAAATCCTTCAAAGCTTACAATTTTCTCTAATTCCATCTGATTATCCAGACTCTTTATGTTATAAGCACAACTATCTGAAATTTCCCCCACAGCACTTAATAAGTATTTTGTAGAATAAGTAAACGTATATGACTGAAGATTCTCAAGTTCTTTCTGGCATCTCTGGATTTCTACATTTACACTTTTAGAAAATTCATTTTGAATATGAACAATTCTGGTGAATGTTGTAACAAAGCAGTGCACATGGAGTATTGCACATATGGCTCAATGCAACACAAATTCATTTTCTTAGGCTAAAAATACAAAATCATGTTAGCAGCAAAATCCTACTTCTCTCTCTGTCTCTCTGTCTCTGACTCTCTCTGTCTCTGTCTGTCTCTCTATCTATCTCTCTCTCTGAAGATTCTAGGGAAGCACCATTCCTTGACCCTTTCTCGTTTCTAGTGGCTCCCCACAATCATTGGTGCCCCTTAGCTTATAATTCACTACCCCAGTCTCTGTCTTCATCTGATCATAACCTTCCTGATGTGTCTTTGTGTCTCAGGCTCTGCATATCTCTTTTTCTTATAAAGACATCATTTATCAGATTTAAGACTCACCCTTACTACTATGGCTTCATCTTAAGTAACTGAGTTTTCAAAGGTGCAATATAAGTAAATAGGGTCATTTTGAGCTTCTGAGTACACATAAATTTTAGAGGGACACTCTTTTTACTTACTATGATGGGTACCAGGAAAAGGCACACTGCAAACACAGTTCTGAACTTGAAGTGGAGATCAGGTATATGTGTGAGGTCTTAAATTAGCTGGCCAGAAGTTAGTCTGCCTTCACTAGAGTTGGAAGCTTTGGGGTCGGAGACTGAAATCGCCCCAGTGCCCATGTATTTGTCTTTTTTGTCTTTGTGTGTACGTTTGTATATGTTTTTCTGAATATTCCTTATATAGAGTAATAGTTACTATACTTGTAATCCTCTGTTATGAAATAGGACCTCCTTGTATTAGTAGGAGGATTTTAAAAGAGGGAAAGAATTCTGTAATTTTGTCATTAGATTTCAGGCTTTCATGGAGCCTGAGTTGGTAATCTACTTCATCCTGTAGAAGGCTAAAACAAGATAGAATTCTCCTTACCTTTCTTCTACATGCATGATCAAAAATAATTGGAATTGCATATTTTCTTTCCCATAGTTTGGTTAAGGTAGGACTTCCCTCCAGGGTAGACTTTGTTAAGACAAACAGAACTCTGTAAGTATTTCAGAGAGATTACTTTTCCTCTTCCCATGCAAGAATCTCAATAGGATTTTCTTGATGGTGAAAATTTGGTGGGATCCTGGGAGGTAAATTTCACAGAGATAGAGTTACCCCCAGGACTGAGATCCCTTGATCCCACATTGAGAATCCAGTAATTTATCAATTACAGTTTAAATTGTTTCTGTAGATACTGTCTACTGCAAAGAGCTCTTATGCCTAGCAAGATGTGACTTCTCTCAGTTCTCCTGTTTCTTCAGGTTTTAGTGTAGACGTTTGCCTTATGACCTCAGTTCTTTGCTGGATTTAAGACAGCATTGTTGATATTAACTTTTCTCAGACATATTTTTTCTTGTGAAAATGGGAATAACAACTGTTAACCTCAACATGTTGAACAAGAAACCCCACAGGTCTGAAACAGAGATTATGAAATAGTAGCAGTAGACCCTTACTGTGCCTCAGTCCTCATAAAAAAGTGATGTTAGAGTATTATCCATTTTCCAGTTGTGGGATCTGACACTATGATGGATTTCATAACAAGTTACAGGTGTACCTCAAATTTGAAACTAAATCACCATGTCTAAATTTTTAATAACCACAGAACACCATGAGCATAGAAAGGCTTGTGTATTATCTCCTAGGGAAATAGGATCAGTCTCCTGATGTTGCAAGGGTGAGAACTCAGTATGTTATAACTTGCATGTAAAGCTGACTTGTGACATGAACAGATTAAATGTACCATCAAACTCTCTGCTTACTGTCTGCACATGATCTGTTTTTCATGAGCCACTTAGCAGAGAATTCCATGCACTTGGCAGGATTCTACTTTCCAAACAACAGCCTAGGTAGGTAATCAAGGATGCTAACAACTGTGTAAATCTCAGAGGTTCATGGGGTGGATAGTAGCATCATTATGACAAATATAACTGAGGCAAGTAAATGAGCAGCTGTCCACATACAGGAATGCTACTCAGGCTGATTCTGAAGAGTTGGAGGCTGCCCTTGCTCAGTCATTTGTCACCCAGCACAAAATGCAGGTTGATCAATTCATCGGGGACTTAGCTGGTAAGCTGATGAAACAGCAGGCCATGTCTCAAGTTATTTTTAGCCTGTTAAGCTGAATACAAAAGAATCATAATGTAGGAAAAGGAGGTATAAGAGCAGAGGAAAAAGAGGAGGATGGCTTGACGTGGTCAACGTAACACAAGCATAGTTTTAAAATCTCTCATAGTCATTAAGAAAATCAAGCAAAGCCAAGGCATTACTAATAAAGATTTGTTTAGCACCACACATCTAAACTCAGTTCATCAGTTAACTATCTGATGAACTAACTTTCTGCTCCCAACAGCATCCCCTAAAGCACTTTACTATATTACTAATAGCTGATATATACCAGCCAAGAAACAAATCCCAAAACTCATTCTATTTGCCTCCAAATGAAGTTCCCTAAAGCAGTTTTCTGTAGTTTTAGAGAAGATTGCTGTCAAAACACAGCACATATGTACTTTGACAGGTGAAACACTGACTTTCTATGACTTGGTGGTATGGTTTGAACTAAGAATGTCCCCCAAGACCTATGCGTTAAAGGCTTAGTACCTAGCTTGGCATTCGTTGAGGTGGTGAAAATGTTAAGATATAGAGTCTTACCTGGCCTGGTGGTACACAACTGTAATCTCAGCACTCAGGAAGCTGAGACAAGAGGATCACTGCAAACTGGAGGCCAACCTGGGCTACACAGTGAATTTGAAACCAACCTGAACTACCCAATGGGAACCTCCTTAAAAAATAAAGTAGAGCTTTATGGGAGATTTTCTAGACATGAGGGGATGGTGGAATTCCAGTCCCTCCTCCTCTTCTCTCTTCCATAGCTTAACTGTGAGGTAAGCAGCTATGCCCCCACCGCATATTTCTGTAATGATGTGCTGGTCTTCCAGTCACCTAGAGGAACAGCGCCAAAGGATCACTGAAACATCTAAATCTGTGAACCAAAATAAACCCTCTCTCTTTATACATTTATTGTCTTTTAGTATTTATTTTTACATGAATAGAAAGCTGACTAACACACTTAATATGCAGAAACCCAAGCATTAGAAAAATGGATTCAACTGCCTGGCACTCAAGCAACCTCCTGAGTGAACAGATTCTCCAGGATGCCTTTCCTTTCCTTCCTGAGCAGTGTGACTGATAGGACCTGTCTTACTATTGAAGCAGTCCTAAGTAAATTCAGGAGCAATGAAAGATACCAATTTCCATGGTTCCTTCTCACAAGAAAACTTAGTAGCAAATGACGTAGTAGTTGAATTGTTCACCCACGTTCCGCATCTGGGCCTGATAATTATTGAGAAAGGCAGATGCTCTTAACCTAATCATTTGGTGTTTTGACTGTAGTTTGTCATTACTGTCAGTGCATATAAATTTTAAATAAAACACATAATAAAAGACCAGAATCAAGGGAGGAATTCAGTGTAGCGTAACGGAGGATGAGAGCCTTTTCTTTAGTGTTGCTCTATGTCCTGAGAGACATAGTGACTTTGGAGGAAGCACAAAGCCAATAGTACCATACCTGAAGTCTACCTGCTTCATCAATGGCGCTCACAGGCTGGAGGACTTGCCGTGTCTCAGCCTCATTCATCCCAAGGTCTCACTTGGTCCTGTCATGGGTAATAGCATGCCACTGTGGACAGCTTTTTGGTGAAGATGCATAGGTTTTTCCACAGTTAAGAGTCCTGTCCTGAAGTAAGTTACTCTTTAATGGGGATTTTTAGTAGCACTGAGTTTCCAGATTGTGCCACTGATTATACTCAGAAGGGAGCCCACCTTCAGACTGAAATGTGCTCCTTTATGTCCCGGGAAACAGAATCGTCTTGGAAAGAAAATAAAAAATTCTCCCTGAGGTCTGAAAGGTCTAGTAGGAGCCTTAAAACGTATTAGCTGGTAATTAAAGGGTGAGTGATTTAATTTATACACCAGACCAATAAAGGGCGATATGACGGGTATGTTGCTGACTACAAGAATGTCAGAGTGTCAGCTTTGTTGTCATGAAATTTAACAGCCTGACAATAAATGTGTGAGCAATTATATTAAATATAGAGAATACAATGATGGGCACTGAAGCCAGAATGCCAGAACTAGTTCCTATGCTCGTTCTGCCACTTACTAGCTTTATGACCTTGGCTGTGTGTGAAATCTCTGGCCCGGTTCCTTAGTTACCTCATACAAAAAATGTTAGCAATAGTCTCTGTATCACTGAGTTCTTGTAAGAACTAAACAGTTAATGGAAACTATCTGGAACTATGCTATGAATAGCTCATAGAAACTTCTTAGCAATTGTTAATACTGTTATGTGTGAGCATCTCTTACAAAGAAAAAAAAATATTTTTCAATTATAAGTATGCCTTAGCCTAGTCATTATGTATTAATACACTCCTAAATCTTTCAACAGACAAGCAAAAGCTAGCTGAGAATTCATTTCTCTTTAATGAAAATCTCCTACACTGCTGGCTAAATTCATTGCTTTGTTTGTTTGTTT